TCATTGGTAAAGAGAAGAGTCACTGTCTTCAGAGGGCCGAGCTGGGAATAGGGCAGAAGCTACTGTGGGGCCATATGTGAAAGAGTGGACCATGCTGCACTGTGGTTTCTGTGCTTTTAGGAGAAATGCCCCATATGGCTTTTTCCTCCTGAGAATATAAGAAATGTCAGACTCTGGATCAGATTCATGGACTGTTCAGTGCAATGATTTTTTTTTCTGTCCGTAGTACCACAGGATGTTTTGTAAGAACGCATGCATATCTTCTATGATGCCAGCCTCTAAATGTTAGGGAGTGTGTCAGACATCCTGAGCTACTCTCATTAGGAACAGCATCCTTTCATTCGATGGATGGAACTGGTATATGGAGCTTGCCAGGCCAGTCTTAAGTGAATGACTGACCAGTACTGCTTTGTTAGTTGTAAAGCATATTTTGCAAAATATCATCAACAAAGATATTTCAAATAACTTTTGATTCTTCTCCCTCCAGATATTTTTTTGAAGGTGAACTTACTGAAAATCAATGGAGTGAGCTATGGCCGTATTGTTACAGGGAAACCCAACATTTGATTCTGAAAATGGGGAAGAGTGGAACTAACTGTGCCATTTGCTAAGATGTGATGAACCTGTGGAAGTAAATTGGTTTTATTGGACAGGATGTGACCAGGGGCAGATTTAGCTTTGAGGGTCAGGACTGTGGAAGTAATTGTGGAACCAAATGATCCACGGTTTGGGTGGAGCCTATTCGACTTAGCCAGAACACATTTCATAGTCATTGATGCTTTCAGACAGATACCTCCTGTTTCATGTTTCAATATATCCAGATTGTTTGCTGTCTTGCTGATTAGGCTCCCAAGTAAAAGTGATACCCTTTGGTAGTGCTGCTAGTGGATTATGGGACTAAGACTTGCCTTATAGACAGACTAGGGTATATTAAACTTTGCAATTGTAAGGAGCATAATATGGACCATGTATTATAATGGTGTGGGAGGAGGGCAGTTTTTAATGCTCCTGTGTTGAGAGTCACTGCATTAGAGGATAATAGTTTTAAATGAAGCTGCATTCTAACAAGGGACCAGATAACGAGGATAAATGAAATCTGCAGACAGTCTGTAGCTTCATTTTAGCCATTATTTGTAATCTTCTACCAAATCTTTTATTATGTAGCAAAATTGATTAATTTGCATGTATCTCTTCTCCCTGTGCCCACATGCTGTCTGATATAGGAGTGAACAAATAGAGAAAATAGACAAGAGAGGAAAGAGGATGGGGCTGAGGTCACGCAGAACTGGGGATGCATAATCCCCCAAGTGAATAATGAACCCCAGAATAATCAACCTGCCTTTTAGGCCTAACATTAATCTTGATGTTTAATCATTCTGGGTGATGTTAAAAACAAAAGACTGTGTAATAGCATTAATGAAAAAATCATTTGCTACGGAATGGTTTGGAATAAATATGGCTTTCTTTTTAGCATGACATATGAATCTATTGAACTGGTCTTAATGTTCTCTCAGCACACACAGATACAGCTCTGTTTAATTCCATATCCTCTTATCTATAAGTCCTACATTTAATTTACTACCATTCTAGTTGATTTATAGCTTTGCTTAACAAAAGTGCAGTCTTGATTAAAAGAATATTATCATAGCTGATGGACCTTGAAAGCATTTTTTTTCTGAGACCTTCTAATAATTTTGAAAATGACTGCAGACTCTGGTAAAACTAGATTTGCAAGTCTCCATATTTTACCCACCTGGCAGTCCTTTGGGCAGTGGTTGGGCAATGGTAGTTAGGGGTATGTTTGGTGATGTAGCTTTCCCATATGCTACCTCCTTATTCACCCTGAGAAATGGAAAGTTACTGTGATAGAGTTTTAGAGCAAGTTTGCTTCAGGGAATCCCAATTCCCTAGTTAGTTGATCTCTTATCCAGCTGATAATTATAACTATAGCCTTTGCCTCTTGGGATGCTGCTGGGCTGAAGGATCTTCCAATCTGTCTAAGGGAAGATTCAGTTATTACACATAAGGGTTATATTTTGGAGTTGCGGCTGTGACAGACAGATGCCTCTTTCAAAAAATAGAGCATTAGTTTTGGTGCTCATTTCAGTGGAGATGACTTAATTTGCAAAGTCAGTGATTTCCACAGATTGGCCAGATTTGGTCGGTCTCCATAGCAGGCCATTTTACACTCTCCTGTCTTGATTGCACAGTATGACTATTTGGTGGCATCTGTGTCCTAGGAGTAAGGAAAATGCTGTTGTTCAACAGGTGACAAAAAGCTATAATACTTTGATTTCATTTACAGCATTATTACCATTGTCCTGATTCCAGTAGTTGAAAAAAGGGACTGACTCTGGTTAGGGCTTTATACCTTTGCATAATATAGTTTTTACCTGTGAAATACGTTATTTCTCACAAAGGATTCACTTTAAAATCATCATACTTGCAGTTCAATTTACAGGAGCTTTCAATTGTTCAGAATCATAGGAACACAGAATAGAACTTAAAATTGTAAATGTGGCACTAATTCAAAATGGAAGAAATCTGATTTTTTAAATATCAAATTTGATATTGGGTACCTTCTCAAAATACAATAGTGGCTCAATTTTATTTGTGAATAAGTCCATTTCTATTTTGGTGAACAAAGCTTTCCAGTTTGGTCTTACGGAGATATTATTCACATACCATAAAATTGGTCTTAAACTTTTAATTGTTAAGTTACTAGGCTTTAAAATCTCTGAAATTTTTGTTGGAGAAAGGATTTATGTTTCTAAATCACCTTCAATTTGCCAAAATCACTTTTTTCAATACACAGCTACAATTTATCAGAGCTCAACTGATTAGTACAGGTTATCTAGTTAACCTAGAATAAAAATCAATGGGGAGTTTTCTTTTTTCAAACTGTATACTTGCTGAAACATGAAACTTCCTAAAATTCTGATAAGCTTTGCAGTCCCCTCCCTCATTCTCACCCCATACCAGTTATACACCACTGACATAGTCTAACATTCTCATGCCATGGATAGGGAAACATTCTTCCTCCCACAATTTTTATTAGAAACCTCAATAAGCACCAAAATTCTTTTTCAATTTTAACATGATGGATTTTTATAAATTGAGCTAGAGATGCAAAATTCACTTCAGTGAATGATGGGAGCAGAAATTATGCTGGGTATTTTTAAAAACAAATTATGAAGGATGTGATAATGTTAAAGGAAAGATTTCAAAGTCACGGACCAGAAAGTCAGTATATAGAAGCTATTGCAAATTTGTTACTATCTCAGTACTGTGTCAGGCACTGGGGAGATTAGTAGATGTCCTTTATCCTGGAAATGCCTGATAGCTAAGTATTCATATTTCCTCTCAGCTGTCCACAGTCATTCCCCACAGGGCATGGGAGGCCTGATTGTGTTAGTTTCTAAACAGCTACCCTGATTGCATTTTCAGCAAAAGGAGATTCATGAGAATACTGATATTAAATAGATAGAAGAAATAGCCAAAGAGATAGAAGAGATAGGCTTGAATAAAAAACATAAACTGCTAAGAAGATCTGACAGACTCTAATGGATGGGTGGATTAAAACCTGGGGGAGAAATGAAATGGATTTTCCAGAGGACTTTTTATTCCCTGAAAGATTAGAAATTTTTAGCCTAAGGGCAGAAGAAGCAAAAGAAATTTTTATGGACCTCCTTTCCTCTTTTAGACCTTCACAACCATGCAGACAGAAAGAGTAAAGGTCTGATTTCAGTCATCTGCTCTCAAAAGAAGCCTCCTTCCTGGGTAAAAAGATTTATCTGACCTCACATCTTCCCTCTAGTACCTTGGACGACCTTGCACTTGGGCACCATGATCTAAAGCAGTCATAGATTTGGGAGAACAGAATGGAATTGTTAAGCTTTTGAAATTTCATTTTTATTATCAATCTTTACAAGCATTGTAGTTTTTATGATCTTTAGCTGTATATATACTATTCTATGTCAGATATATGGAGAAAGGACAGATTCCTTTTGATTGGATACTAATCACAGAAAAAGTACATTACTTTTTAAAAACATTGGCAAGCAATTGCCCACACTGCCTTAGAAGACCATCTTGTTTAGGGCATTACCAAAAGTTTGTTTCACATTAAAAAAAGTTAGATGAGAAACTGTACAAATTCCCTGCTCTAAGTAACAGAAACCTTTATTGCTCTTAAGTTTGAGGACAGTGATGCAGCTAGATAGTGAGGGCTTGTCACTGGCCTACTTTAAGCCATAACACATTGTTTTAAGAAAACCTATATGTAATGAGTGATCATGTAAGATCTGGTTGTTATTGTTTTTCAGTCTGATCTGTGTTGCTTATCTATCTATAATTTAAGATTATATATGTCTTATTCTACACATAACCCCAGAATGGTTGTTCTGATCCCACACAGAATAGCAAAGACAGGCACATGCTGGCATATACAAGTCAATGTTTTCAGTCTCCATGGCTATCATGGCTTTCAAACCTAAAGCAAATACTTGAATTATGACAGTCTAGTCTCTTTAAGAGATGAGGCAGTTTGGGAAGGGAGTCAGTAGCTCCAGAAGTTTCAGAACTTAATTTAAATTGGTGATTGTTCCTGAAAACAGAATAGTTGTTTGCTGATTTCTCTAAAGTCAGTTCCCTTGGTCAAGTTCCTTATTTGTCATGAGTCATAATTTGGGAGTGGGGGCAGGATTCTTGCCATCAACTGTTTTAATCTACACAAAACATTAGAATTGTTGTTCCGGTTCCAAATAGAATAGCGTAGCCCAGTGAATATTTGGCACATACAAATCAATGTGTTCAGTCTTCATGGTCATCATAAATGGCATTTAAACCCAAACTCAATACTTTGGAAAGAGAAAACTGATGTGCCCTTCCAAAAACAAGGGGAAAAGGAAGAACTGCATTCTCTTGAAAGTTAAATTATAACTTTTTCTTTCTATTTCTATGAAGAACACTGTACTAATAAAACTGCCAATTTCTTTCAGGTGGGTGTACATGGCATTAGAATAGAATTCATCAATGAAAAAGGATCAAAACGCACCGCCACCTACCTACCGGAGGTTGCAAAGGAGCAAGGTCATTCTTATACTTTTATTTCATATGATCTGGTGAAGAATTTAAACAAATGTACAAATTGAAATGCAACATCTGACCTTGCAGTTATGTCTGATAATTGATCAATGTCAAATTATAAGAAATGACTCTTCCATCACTGCCACTGCAATGTCTATATGAAATTGGTGAATTACACAGAAGTTGAATTTTGTGCACTAAAGTTTGACAGTGAAAACAGACCAATGTATACTTTCAAAAAAGCAAAGACTTGTAAAAAGCTGGGTGTTATCTTAAGCAACAGTTTGCTACAAATTGAAGAGCTATTTTCCCTATACCCTTGTATGGTATAAATAAGCCTTTTGTTTGACAGTCAGCCACACAGTTCATTGTCAGCATCAAACATTTCATTCTTAAGTGGTTGTCATTACTCATCCTGCTATTTTTAAGATTGTAGGTTTCCCATTAAGGTTAGGAACATTGAGAATACATGAAGTAGTGTTTTATATATTTGGTCTGTACTTCCTAATCAACATTTTTCTATTGTGCAGAAAAAAACACAAACCTTTATGAACCACCGCTGTAACACAAAATAACGTTCCACTCTGTAGTATTTTGTCCTTTGTAGCCACTACTAAATTCTAGTTTCATGCTCATTGAAATGAATATTTCTTATTTACTTTATAGAGCTTTTTTCTCATCATATAGTATTTGTAATTTGGTTTTCCCATGTTTAGATCATAAATGTCAGATACATAACAGCAAAACCCCCACACAAGAGAATTAATCTTGAAGGCAGCTATCTGAAGATTTATTTGAGTTACTTTAAAAAATGTATTAATCCTATAGTTCCATTGACTTTGTAAAGCATACATAACAGATAGAGGGCCTTGGACATTAGTATGCCATGCCATGTCAGAACCAATAAAAATGCCCTTGATTATACCCAAATACACTTGATTGACAACAAAAGATACCTTTAGGAACAGCAGTTACCATGTGAGAGTCCTAAAGACCACTGAGTTGGCACAGTGACGTTTTGACTTTTCCCTTCCTTTTAAAGATACTGTTTTTAGAGGAGAGTACAATGTTTGTGGTTTATTACTGATATGTGATGGTGCAGTTACTGCCAGTCTCCTTCCCTCCAAACATGGTTGAGATAAAGAAGCCATTGCTGTTACCTACCATAGCCATCATGGATAGCTAGAATTTAAGCTTGAAGCAGGTGGTGAAACCTGCTTCTGTACAGAATGAAATCTTGGCTCTTCTGTGTGGCTTTTAGGACCAAAAGAGTTGATGGCATTTGGTGACAGTGATAGCAGACTTTCTCGAAGGTCATTTTATATTTAACAAAAGGTGTTTTTTACATGTGCTTAACTGTATTTTATCTGATCTGCTCTCTGCAGGATGGGACCATATTCAGACCATAGACTCCTTACTGAGGAAAGGAGGATACAAAGCTCCGATTACTAATGAATTTAGGAAAACCATAAAACTGACCAGGTACAGAAGGCATTTTCTAGTGCAAGGATAACCAGTACATTTTGATACATATGCTTATAAGCCTTTGATATGTTTTTTTTATCTCTCTAACTATACTTGATTCTCTTTTCTGAAACAGGGTGGAAATGCATAGCGGGGCCCTACTGAGGGTGGATACAATGGAACTGTGCTTGGCAGTAAAGCTTGTACAATGTATGAGCCCAACCTTCCCATATTTGTTTTAGCTCTGTGTGATTACTCTGGCTTTATATAAGCAAATCCTTTGGACCTTTACACTACATTATTGAAGAAATTTACCTGAATTAGCTGTTGGCTAGCTTTTGACATGGCTTAGAACCCCAGGATTATGATAAGCAGTCCTCAAATTTGAATTTAAGCTTAGAATTTTGGCAGTGATAGAAGTTTCCCATGAAAGCTTGCTGAAATATACAATTAGGCTAGACTCACAAATGCTAAATAAACTTCTGCATGGGATAATAGAGATACTTGTTTTAAAAGGAAAATATCAAACATTTTAGGAAAATGGGTTGTGGTTTCCATTTATTTTAATTCCATAAAACTACATTGAGTGCCTACCATCTAAAAGTGGACTTTCTCCTCAGTTCTGACCAGTTACAAATTTGAAAATGCCTCTATCTCTGCTCTCCCTGAGTCCACAGTGTAATAGAAGAGCATGTACAAAAGCAATTTTTAATATAAGAATGTGATGGATGACATGAGTTCATAAAGTGGGGGAGGAGGAAGTCCAGGAGGGTTGGGGGTAACAGAACAATTTCAAGGAGGAGGTAGATTTGAACCTAGACTTAAAAAATAGGTGGAATATTTGACAGGCAGAGTGTGGGGGAGGAAAAGGATTGCCTAAAAGAAAACTTTGTGAGTCAGTGCATGTAGGTGGCCTAGAACCAATACTGAGCAGGTTCTGAGGAATGTTCAATAGTGCAATTTGGCCAGTCTTTCAGTGTACCTATGGAAGGTGGTCATTAGAGGAGCATGTGGGAAAGAAGGTAGATTGGATCAGATCATAAGGCTTTTGAGTTCCAGACAAAGAAGTTTAGACCTGATTCTATAGGCAGGTGGTAGCCATTGAAGGGTTTTAAAAACAGATGGATTTAGGGAGGTATAAGATTAGAATTGGAAGCAGAAAATGAGATAGAAGACTTTGCCATTATCTAAGGATCTCTGCCAGCAATCCCAAGGGGGTGAAATGAGAGCCTTAACAAGAGCTGTGGCAGTCAGATGGGAAGAAAGGAGGGAAAAGAAAATATTGTGGAAGCAATGGAAGGACTTGGTCATTATTCAGAAGTAGGAAAGAAGAACGAATCAAAGCTTTACTCTACATAAAAGGGATCAAGGTGATCCCTTTAACCAAGAGAGGACCCACAGGAGGAGAGTCACATTTATGCATTGATTCTGGATTTCAGGTGTGTTCTGGGATATCTGTATGTTAATGTCCAGTATGTTACTGAATACGTGTGTAGAGTTCATGGACAGAGATGGTGATTAGGGATCATCTGTAAAGAGGACATAGTTGAAGCTGTGAGGATAGGGTTCATTGAACAGGGACAGAGAATAGGGTTAAAAGGACTGAAGGTAGAAATGTAGGAAAATCCTGCAAAGCAGGGATAGGATGAGTACTCATAAGGAGCATTCTGAGAGGCAGGGAAAAGGACCAGGAGTGTGTGGAGTTGCAGAACCCATGGCATGAGAGAACTTCACAAAGAGGGTACTGAGTAGTACCATAATGAAGATGTCAGCAGCAGGAGGAGTGGCCTTCTGAAAGAGCAGTGTCCATGGAAGAACCACCTGTAAAATTATCTCCAAGGTCCCTCCTAGCTCTGACACTGTCATGTCGCCTATTTCTTGATGTTAACTTTGTCTCTTCCCTGACTTTCTTTCAGGTACCGTAGTGAAAAGATGACCCTGAGCTATGCTGAATACCTTGCTCATCGCCAGCATCATCATTTCCAAAATGGCATTGGGCATCCCCTTCCACCATACAACCATTATTCCTGACAATGAGCCGCACAACCAGTCACTGGGCCTCTCTGCAGACCTCTTCCCAGTAGATCCTACCCCTTCTTGGTCTAGCTATCTCTTTTACTGTACCATTTTATGATGATAGTTTCCGTTGCCATGGTGAAATTTTGACATAGTTAAGATCATCATGGTAACGGGTAGGAAAATGGCATTCGTTAAGATCAACTTCTATTATTTTACATCATTTTTTTGCAGCATATATCACTTTGGGGGGTTTCTTTCCTTATATAGAAGTTTGCTTTGCTATGTCAGTCAGATTTCTATCTTTCTGTTCATCTTGCCTTCATTTCCAGTCTTCTTTCCTTCATTCTTTCTTGCCTCTCTCCCCTCCCTTTTCTTTTTCTTTTCTTTTTTTTTTTTTTTTGACTGTGGATGGAAGAAATTGTGCAGTTTTTAAGGATTTTGCTTAGGTTTGTCTTTAATTTTCTTTAGTAAGGTAATTTTTCATAGCTGAATTTGGGAGTAATTCATATGAAATTCAGGTATTTGTACGTTACTCTTGAATTTGTTGAAAATTAATTTTGTTATGAGAGCTTAGTGTGGGGGTCTTCACTCCTTAAGTATATGTTTTTACCATGGTTAAAATATATGAACTTTAGTTATAGTGTAAAACATTTGAAGGTTCATGATAGATCTTGTCACAGAGAGTGAGAAATAAATCATTTATGACATTGTGCTGGTTAGCATAGGACAGACTGCCTCATCACTTTATTAGAACCAACTTACAAACTGAAACACTGTCTTAAGAAAGTACAAGGTACCTTTCACATATGTGTAAGAATCATTTTGAAAAGCAGCAAATATCAGGAAGAGAGCAGATACAGAATTTAGTGCCTTTGAGAAGAATATAATTAAGTGGAATTAAGAGGGGTTAGGAAAAAAGGCAATTTAGAGAAATATTCTTGTAAACTCGTACTGTTTCTATATTGTGGAACAACAGATTGGACAAATTACTTTCTCTTAAATATTTTTTTAAGCTGAAAAAATTATTTTGAGCAAATAACCAAAAAGAGACATGTGTCTATTGTGTATTAATTTCAATTTGTTAGCTTTAGGTTTCAGTAAGTCATGATTGGCCAGAGACAATTTTAGCTACCATATAAAGGAATGGTAAAGATAACCTAGTGAAACAAAAGTTCATATATGCCATGATTTCAGATGTTTGTAATGGGGACAATACTGGAGTTTTAGAAATACTATAAAATAGCTTGAATCTCTTTCTGCACTACATACTTTTGATAGAAACACATTTACTATGTTGATATTATGTTACACCTATAAAAATGGAGTTGGCATTTAGAGATGATGTAGTTGTTAGTGCTGAGATCATTTGCAGGTTTAGGCTTCCCATGATGCAGTCAAAGAGAACTTCCTAGTGTCAGTAGGAGGTCTGTATGTACATCCCCAGGAAAAATGACAGAGGATTTTGGAGAAAGATTACCTTCAATTTATGGTAGTAAATGTGTGTATGTGTGTGTGCGTGCACTTGTACACATTTTTTTTTCAAACAGGAAACCAATATGTCAAGTGATGAATATAAGTATTGTGCAGAATATATAGTTTAAAAATATGAGATGTCACTGACTATCAAATGGCATATCTTATACATATAGTTGCTGTGACAAGTGACAGACTGCTAGTTCAGAATTCCAAAACCTTTTTGTAGTTTGTGAGATAATTGGCTAAATTCCTTTTGCTTGCCATTGTGGCAAAGCAATTTGCTTTAGCTTTTGGTGAGAGTTCTTACAAGTTTGTTGGTATTCCTTCATCCACAGCATCTGTTGTTGAAACAACCATCTTCAGTTGTGATGCCTTAACTAAGAAGCCAGTTGTTAGCCTGAAATGCAATCTCGGTAGCCAGTTCCATTGAACCTAGAGATCAGTCAGACAATACTAGCTGTTGGATTTTAGAAGGGAATTTTGAGTCCTTTCATTTGTAGGTGGGAGCATTTTGGAGCAGATTAGTCTTTCAGTATGAAAACAAGTGGCTACCTGATGGAAACTTTTTCTTGCCCTTTTAGGGGAACTGAGCACAAGCTGAATGGTATTGTCTGCTGCAAAAAAAGTAAAACAAACTGAGGAGAGACAAAATAGACCAATATTGATCCATCTTATCCATCATCTCATCAGTTCAACAGGCTCCTCGTCCTGGTTGAGCTCATGGTTAGAAGTTTTTTCTAAAGAAAAGATCTATTACATACATATATGTGTATACATATACTTACACATACATACATACATATGTGTGTTTATGTATTTAACGGTGCTAATCAATCTTGAGCAGGACACGTGACTGGTCATGCAGACTCTAAAATCATATCAGATTTTTAAAATTTCTTGATATATGCAGATGTTATACAGATTTTCTTACCAGTGTAATAATGTTATACTGAAGAAATAACCATCCTGCAGGCTTCAGAGGATGAGGTCAGCAATATTTCCCACCATGGCTTGGGGAAAAAGGATAGTTTTGTCTCCTTTTGTATTCAAATTAATGCACAGTGCATTTTTGTCTCAAAGTAGCTGTTGACTAAAAGATTTTGTAGTGTAAAGGTGTTCTACAAACTAACAGCGTGCTTCAAACAAATGCTAGACGCTCACCTTTGTTGTATATTACAAAATGTTAAATAAGTGGTTTGAATTACCTTTGAACATGTTGAAATATGTAGCATGTGTTTTTAACTCTGACAAAGATTCTAATTGCACAGGTTGTGTTCTAGCCAGTTGTGGTTTATTTGTTCAGAAACACAAATGTGAATTGCACTCATCACCAGTATATTGTATAAGTTCAGTGATCTTTAAACAGCTCAGAAGTAATACTTGAACTTCATTTGAGTAGCACAAAGTTTACATAGCCCCCCTTTTAAATGTTAATTAGTTCCATTTATGTTTTCCATTTTCAAGTGCAACTGGGTATTTTTCCTCTTGGAAAATAGTATGCATTTTACTTTGATATGTAGCAAAAGGCTTCCATTTCTGGAAGGGTTTTCTTGTTCTTAAACAAGGTCAGCCAGGTACCAGATTCTAAAAGAACAACCCCCCCCCCCCCCCCGCATTAAGTGGCCTTCTGACTGCACGAGAATGTGCTACTACTCTTTCCAGTCCCCTTTACTATGAAAGGTCGATGTAATTGATGGAGAAGTGCAAGGCTTGCTCTTTTCCCCCACCCCACTTAAAGCAGTTACAAGATGTTCAGCCCCGTGCATACAGTCCCAATGCCCAGCACACCAGGAATTTGTATACTGGCCTCTTTTTATGTCTTCAAATGTGCAGGAAATTTGAAATTGTCACCTGGAATAGGTTCCATCTCTTGTGTGTGTTAGATCAAACCAAAGAAGCCCCCAGCCATGCCCAAATGCTGCTCCAAGAGCCTGCCTTCCAGTCCTTACAAAACCTTGCAGGATTAAATGTGTTAACTTTTTTATTTTTGTACAGTTTCTAAGTGATTTTTGCTAGTGGTGTTAAATTGAATTAAGTTTATTTGGGGGTGGGAACACCTCCTCCATTTAAATAAACTGGTGACTTTCCTTTTATTTTTTAAAAGCAGAAACCCATTGTGTGCCTCTCGATTTAAGGGTTTCTGATTACATTATTCTTAAGACCAGCATTTATCCTTTATATACAAAGATATGTTTTTCTTGTTTTTTATTACTGTTTCAGAAGAAAATAAACCTTTTATTTTGCTCTAGACCCAGTAACTGCGCTGGTACATAGAAGCACTGAGAAAACACTTTTGTAACCACCTCTGACTGTTTTTGTATATCAAAGTTGATTACTTTTGAAATATTTGGATCTAGTTTCTAAGTTATTTTAGTGTTTTATATGTTCCCCAAAATCACTTTGAATTGGTCACCAGCATAATGAATATTTGGTGATGTCACGGTCAAACTTGTAATGAGCAAAAGCTGCCTGGGGTAGCTTTTCCTTCTTTCCTAGGAACCTGTGTTTTGATTACAGTATGACATCACAGATTACCTGAACCCCCTTCGAGTATAACTAGATACTTCTTCCACATTAATTGCTTAATAGTTTGATGAAACTATTGGAAATGGGCATTTTATATGACATGTATGGCTTTAAAATATTTAAAATGAGCAAAAGGAAAAAATGAGAAGGTTTATGTGGGTCTGGTAGGTATGGCTGTGGAAAGATATTGCAGTAGTTTTGACACTATTGTTATTACCTTTAATATCATTTACCCAATAAAATGTTAAAACTGAGTTACCATTTGTTGTTTCTTTCTTTAACCTGCCTCATCATAGGCTGTTGGTCTTGTGGGTACCTCTTATTAAAACATTCACAGATGAAGACTTTGAAATAATATACTTTGGAACTGGCATTGATTTCTTTCCAAACTAGCACTTGGAACACCTCACCTACCTGCAGCTGCTCCCTACCGTATGGTTTGCCTGCATCATCATCTTGCCTAGCCCTGAACCCTGGACTGGTGAGGTAGTCTATCCTTTATTGGACAGTCTACCCTGGTCATGGATCTGAGACAAGCATTTGACTTGAATTTCTGGGGCAGCTTAGTTATGCTTAAGCCTGTTCTAGATGTCTTCCAGATCCTCATGTTATTGGGTCTTTCCCCTTAGTAAACTGGTTCACAGCAGTAGCTGTGCCATCCAGTGAAACCACCTGATGAGGTAGAAAGCCTTTCTTTTGCCATCAAGTCTGACATTTTCTCAGTACAGGATAGAATCTGAAAAAGTTGGTACACATTCATACACATACTTGACATACCACATACTTGTCCTTATTATCTGTTACTTTTCCAGTTTCAGAGTGGGATGAGGTGAATGAAGTCTTCAGAACTTGAGCTTGGGGGAAATATCAGTATATATGGCAGGGCAACTGGTGCTCCTGACTTTCAAGGGCCAGAGAAGATATGTGGTTTGAATAGTGGTCCACTAAGGCAGCCATCTGCTCAATGTTTACCCAGATTCATCATTCAATATAAGTGGCACATAGGATTTTTAAAGTGATTTAGACAATATTAGGTTCAGGTAGAAAGAAGTTATTTAATGAGCCCATGGCTTTCATTTTTATAGCATTAGTGGTGAATTCAGTGGTCTGGACAGATTTCAGCTTCAGTGATCACACTGTACCTACCTAAATTCTCAGCTTCAGCATTTCCTCTTTAGATTTCATGCCCCACTGGGCACCTTTCAAACAGCTCACTGCTCCAGAGGGCAAGCATGGCTATGTGGGATGAGATGGTTGCTCTGTGTTGATGGAAAATACCATCATGTCAGTGTGAGCTGGGGAAAGTCTGTTGCGAGGAAATCACACCTGGATGCAGAGCTGTCAGTAAGGAGAGTCAGTGAATGGGTTCTCTCACTTTGTGCAGCTCTGACTGCATGAGCTGAGACAAGTGAGGATTTGGGCTAAGCGCTGATGGCTTCCCATCTCTTTGCCCAAGCTTTTCACCTGCAGGTGGAGTAGTTTAGCGGGAGGACACAACTGAAGCAGGCCTTGGGCATACTGCTTTAGCCACTACATTTAAAAGCCTTTTGTGATCCTATAGTCCATGGTACATTCTCCTGTTCCTACGCCAAGCTTATTCAAGAAAGCTTTCAAGAATCACAGGAAACTGCCTTAACTGGTAAGCACTATTCTGAAGCAACCCTATTTCTTCATCCCAAGAACTTGATTACACCTGTGTTTAAAATGACTCAATATATTATGTTCAGAGTGTATATTGACTGTATTTCAAATTGATTAAATGGACTGACCCAGAGGGCATGTACTTCATATAAACAAACACTGACCTGCACCTGCTGATTGCCATCATGACAGATGATCACATTAGTTTGAAAGAGGTTAGATGTAGGATGCTCTAAGTCTGGAGCACATGCTGGGTGGCTGGGTAGTGGCTACATTACATGCCTCTGCACTCACTGCCAGCCCTGGTGTCCTTGAGTTGACGCTCCCAACAGGCAAGTCACAGGAACTATAAATTTGTTCAGCCTTTAGTCTCCCTCTGTGGTGAAAGAACCTCTGCTATTTAATCAGTCTTACCTGGCCCCTCAGTATGTCAAAAAATATGAGATTAAAAGCAGTATCTCATTGTTATAAAGTGCAAATGTATAACAGTTCATGAGAATGATGAGGCTACGTTGATGACTAAAAGCTTGTAATTGGGGTGACAGGTGACAACTGCAATTATAGCTACATTTATTTCTGTCTTCTGTTTTGGCTGTACAACAGCAAGAAGGTCCTGATTCACACAGATAAAGGTTATATCTTGTATAGTTTTATAAGAGTGGATACATATGCGTAGGCCTAAATAGTGAAATTCCAGTGCACTCACAACCTCCTGAGTGGGACCTGAGAAGGCCTACAAGAAGTTTAGGCAAGAGAAGCATCACTCCCGAGGTTTGAACAGAAACATGTCAACCTTATGGCTCCTGCTCCCATGGGCCGTCTTCAATTGAATTGCTGTTCTGAAAGTAACACATGAGGTGTTTCTGTTAGGTGTTTTTTGTTTTTTTTTTCGGGGGGCAGTTTTTAAATATTAGACATTTAAGCCACATGCATTTTTTGAATCAAGTTTTTATGGAAACTTGGATCAGTTTCAACAGAATACCAGGTCCCAAGGACAATCTGAAAACCACTGTTAGAGCCCCAACATGCCCAGTTATTTTGAGAGCCTTTGGCAAGCCATTTCATTGCCCTTTCCATTTTGGCCTTTTCCTCCCAAATGGCAGGCAATGTGACCCATCAAAATTTACTGAGTGTCTGAGTAAATTTTGCCCCTCAGAGGCATGACACTGTGCTTGGTTTCAGAATGACTATAGTATCATTTTGTAATAAAGATAAACAGTCTACTCTGAGCTAAACATTCTGAGGGACACACACATTTGCTCTAGTTGGGAAAAGTCATTTACTCTAGAGCCCAGGCAACATTGGCCTGGCTTTACAGGGTTTCGCTAAATGGCTTCCACTTCAGAGTGGCATTAGAGCAGAGCCGTGGCTGCCCCTTTTGGGAAATGGTAATTCTTTGGTCCTCCAAAATGTCAGCAAAAACCACCCTGCACTGGGCACAGTCACGATTTGGTGAGTAGAGGAAGAGATTGTTTCTGTCCCCACAGTGTGGCTGTCTTGCTCCCTAACTAGCGGGAATGTGCAAGGTAGTTGGGAGAAATTATGTGACTGTATAAGCAAGAGATTTATGTACATGCAGAATGGTTTTTTGGTGGCTGAAAGTCGTGTTTCTTACTGTGGAGCTGCCCTGTAAAGGGCATCAGGCCCTTCCCATGAGAAGGAGAGAGAGAACAGCACAGGTAGATACCAGACCATTTGCTCTAAGAAGATACCTTCAGGCCTGAGAAGAAAATTTATAGCATGCCTACTGGATGAAAAATGATGCTTTAGGACAGGGGTGTCAAACTCATTTTCACAGGAGCCACATCAGCCTTGCAGTTGCCTTCAAAGGGCCAAATGTAATTTTAGGACTGTATGAATGTAACTACACCTTAACTAGGGGCAAGGAGCTCCATGCTGCCACTGGGTAGAAACAAGGTAGGAGGCCTTGTGTTTGCCACCTGTGCTTTAGGGGGAAAGATCCATTCATGGGATAGGAGGAGAGAAGGTAGGAGGGGTAGACTCCCCAGAGAAGGAAGTCAGAGTAACTTTCTGAATCACCTGCTACCTAAGAAAGGACAGGAAGGCAGTATTAAATTTGGTATTGTACAACAGGAAACAACCAGCACACAATAGGATGTTTAAATCACATTTTAACTGACAGGAAGCTGCAAAGAGTTGTAGCTATTGCCTGGACAGCAGGCAGATTTGACACTAAGAGTTGCTATAGTCACTGTGCATGTCAACATATGTGGATTTGTGCCTATCAGAGTAGGAGACAGAGTTGGCCAGAGAGCTGGATGGGGTAATCACATTCCCTACTCCCACATAATCCTGGCAGAGTAGAAAGGGTATAGTGGAAGGGAAAGAATGGGAAACGCCCATCTTTTTTGAAGTGTGAGTAATGCAAACATTTCCCTAAACTTTCTCTACTTCAAATATTCAAATGAATTCCAGGAACTCTGTGTGGAGAAACTGCCACCCTGCTGGCATAAGCCTCAGCAATGGCCCCTTTCCCAGAATTGTGGTCAGGGACAGTGGATGACAATAGTGACCTCTGCATATGAAACAATGCCCCTTGGGGACCTGGTTCTTATTTATCTTGCCTAGCATATGTGCTTCATTATACTCATAAATGATGGGACTTAAAAGGGGAATAAGGTGTTAATCTGGTTATTCAAACAGGATGGGATTGTTCCTGTGGGGTTACCCCACTTGGGTTTGTACCATTCCAGTCTTGAAAAAGGTCAAATAGAAATTGCTAAGAGTCAGCACTAGGCTGGAAAAAGACAGGCAACACCCTTTCAGCTACAGAAGGTTACACAGTGATTCCTGTAAGCAGGGTGCACAGGTCACTTGAAAGTTAAAAAGAAACTCCTTCCTTTCCACCTCCTTTTTTTGACATCTTCTTTTATTGAGGTGAAATTCACGTAACATACAATTAACCACTTTAAAGTATACAATTCAATGGTATTGGGTGTATTCACAATGTTATGCAACCAGTGGCTCTCTCTGGCTTTAAAACTTTTTCATCACTCCATGAAAACACCCCATCCTTTCCATTAAAAGGCTGCTCCCTATTCCTCCCTTGTCCATCCCCTAAGTAACCTCTAATCTTCCTGTCTCTGAATTTGCTTAATCTGGATATATCATACAATTGGAGTCATACAGCGTGTGATCTCGTCACAGGCTTCTTTTACTTAGCGTAATGTTTTTCAGGGTTCATCCAAGTCATAGCATATTTTAGTACTTTGTTTCTTTTTATGGCTGAATATTTCATCATATGTATATACCACAATTTGTTTATCTATTCACCCATTGATGGACACTGGGCTGTTTCAACCATTTGGCTTTTTGAATGATGCTACTATAAACATGTCTAAGTGTCTGTATAGATATATGTTTTCATTCCTCTTAGGCATGGAATTGCTGAATCAAATGGAAATTCTATGCATGTTTTTTTCTAAGGAACCATCAAACTGTTTCCACAGGGACTGCATGCACCATTTTATATTCCATCAATAATGTACGAAGTTTCCAGTTTCTCCATATCTTCACCAGTACTCATTATTATCTGTCTTTTTGGTAATAGTCATCCTACTGGGTGTGAAGTAGAATCTCATTGGGGTTTTCA